CAGGTTTTGCCTTTTCCGTTTACCGCAAACCTATGCACAGTGGCATGTATATTCACTACTTTTCTTATTCTTCCTGTCAAGAAAAGTGTTCTTATCTCCCTCTTTCTCCGTGCTCTCCGCATATGTGATTCTCAGTTCCTTCAATCAGAAATTTCCACTCTTCATAATTCATTTTCTCGTCTTGGCTACCCTTCCCATTTCATACTCTGACTTCTCACGTGCTAAACGTAATCTTTTCTTCTCCCAAACACACTACTCCTGGGAACTCTTCTGTCCTCTGCCTTCCCTACGTTTCCGGTCTTTCTAATCTCAACAACTCTCTCCATTCCTTAGACATCAAACTTACTTTCCGCCCGACTAACACTCTTCTCACTAATCTCGTTCATACCTCTCCTCCCTCTACAGATGTTCCTGGTGTCTACTCTATTTCTTGCTCCTCCTGTCTTCTTCAATACTTTGGAGAAACTGGTCGATCTCTTTCTGACAGACTTAGGGAGCACAAAAATAGTGTTAGGCTTGCCGACACTAACAATGCTCTTTTCTGTCACGTCAGAGATCACAGCCATCCTATTGACTGATCTGCTAAAACTGTCTTCCCTACTTCCAACTTTAACAGTCGCCGTCTGATTGAATCCTCCCTAATACACAACTTTCCTTGTATGAATCCTCCCTAATACACAACTTTCCTTGTATGAATCTTAGTCCTGGCTCGTCTCTGTAGATGCCTTCCTCTCCCACTACATTGTAAAATGCTCCAAACTTCAGCACACTCGTGACCTAACCTGATTCTTCCTCTTTTCTTCTCCCTCTTCCCCTTTCCTTTTTCTCCTTTGAGTTATCTTTCTTCTGCCCTGTGTATTTGTTCCTTCTTTATTTACTTATTTGTTCCCCCCCCTCCCTGGGTGTTCTTGCTCTTACCCTCTGTGAGAACCAGCTCCCTTGCAGTGCTCCTCTTAGTATTTGACTGGCCCCTCCTACTCTTACTACCTCCCCACTACTACCTTCCACCTCCACTACTACCACCTCCTGCCTATATATACCCATGCTGCTCTCCTCGTTAGTGACACTTTGTAAATGGTCCAAGTCGGACCGAAACGTCGTCGTAAGCTCTAATCTTCTGTGTGGGTCATTTGTGTATCGTTCTAGTCATGGTATTGTGCCTGTTTTTGTTATTTAGTATTACTACTATTATTGTTACTACTACTACCTCTACGATCAGTACTCACTGCTAGACTGACTACCAGCACCATTAGCAGTATCACTACCACCATTGGTATTACCACAGATCTTACCAGTGCTACCAGTACTACTATTGTTATTACAACTGCTTTTGCTGCTACTGTCTGTACCACTACTAATGTTTTTTGAAACTTGGTTGCCTGACGTCCTTTGTAATTTCATCCCCTGCCCCCATGGTTTTTGTGACCTGTCTTGTGGTCTATTATACTTTTTGACCCTTGGTCTGACTTGATACTCCTCCAAGAGAAACGAAAAGATCGTCTCGAATTGCTTCTCCATTGTTGGTTTCCATAAGTGTATTGTGAGTAGTTTTATATATTTAGATAGGTTAAGAGTAGAACTGGAGAATCTGCTATATGCATTATGAATGCATATAGCAGGGGAGAGTAATCTCCCCCGAAGGCATAGATTACGTAGAACTGTGGGCCTGGGAACCCACCAACGACCTTCAGAAGCTGTGTGGAATCTGTTATTGCTCGTGGTTTCCGTGGGGATGTTGGTGGGTTTCGGGCTTTGGGTAGTGGTTGTGGTGGGTGTTCTACGTATTTTATGCCTTTGGCCAAACTGTGCTGCAAAGTTAAATATTGATTCATTGAGTTTACACAATTTCATTTTTTTGGGAGAATTTAAGCGGCGTTTAGATTTCTTTGAATATAAAAGTATTAGCGTTCAGAATTGCAGTTGATTTCATAACTGCTTACAAACTAAGTAACTCTTCTAACAGACGCTAATGATGAAAATAATGAAATCCTGTGATCTGAAGTGTTAGTCGGCAGAAAGGATTCACTAACATCTGATGAGTATAGTTAAGGGGGTGATTTAGATTGGTATTAGTGAGAATAGGATTATTAACCCTGTGTTAGAAACCCAGAAAAATAGAGGTAGAGAATCTGGGGGCTTGAATGTAGTGGTCCTCATGGCTGGCATCCTAGGCACACCCTAAGTGGCAGGTAAGGTAGGTTATGAATTCAGGCTAGCATAGTAGTGTGTTAGGAGACTGGAATACAATGTTGTCTTAATGATCCTAAATACCTTCATGTTAAATTTGGATGCCCTTCAAGGGGTGTCTTTGTACTAGTGAAGGTATCTTGATACTAGCAGTTGCAAGTACCCTCCCCTTCCTTAGATCAAACCTGATTGCCTAACATTCTCACTGTGTATAACACCTATAGATATCTCTATCTAGGTATGGGAAAATATGCACGTATGTAATAATTGTTTGCATGGGGGGGGGAGCGGTAAACTATGACTTTCATCGATCTGTCCCCCCCCCAATCAGGTTTGAATAATAGAGTAGTGCACGTTGACTTTTCATTTTTTTTTCCAGTTAAAAAGACCTCTAAGGGATATTAGGAGTAGGTTTGGCTAGGTTGTAATATATGTTACGGAGTTGACCTTCAAGTTTAATTGCCACAGAATTTTCAGTGTTCTGTCTTGACACACGAGAACTATTGTGCACGCTGAAGTGTTTGCAGTGAAGATAGTGTCGCAACACTGAGCAGTCGTGTACAACACTGTATAGTCAGCACAGCTTCCTAACACAGTCATGAAATTTAAAAATGTATCATACCTCAAACTACTAATAATGGCAGTATTGAGGCTATCCGCCTCATTACTACTGTTGTTAGTAGGGTTGGGGTAGGTATATTTTTTTTTTTTACCCCGAGCTTAAAGCTCCCGAATTGTTGTCCTCCTGCTGACAAATACAGCAGTTGAGGTTTTTCTCAATTTATTTCTTTTGTGCTCCTTGAACACCTTTGTGTGTGTTCCTTGAACATTGCTGTGATAAAGAAAATAAAAATTTACAAATAAATTCTAAGATAATTAAATTTCTGGAATCTTTTAGGTTGAAGATATTCCCCGTGTTGTGGGCAGCTGCTGTGTGGTGAAGTCCATGTTGTGGGCAGCTGCTGTGTGGTGAAGTCCATGTTGTGGGCAGCTGCTGTGTGGTGAAGTCCATGTGTGGGCAGCTGCTGTGTGGTGAAGTCCATGTTGTGGGCAGCTGCTGTGTGGTGAAGTCCATGTTTGTGGGCAGCTGCTGTGTGGTGAAGTCCCATGTTGTGGGCAGCTGCTGTGTGGTGAAGTCCATGTTGTGGGCAGCTGCTGTGTGGTGAAGTCCATGTTGTGGGCAGCTGCTGTGTGGTGAAGTCCATGTTGTGGGCAGCTGCTGTGTGGTGAAGTCCATGTTGTGGGCAGCTGCTGTGTGGTGAAGTCCATGTTGTGGGCAGCTGCTGTGTGGTGAAGTCCATGTTGTGGGCAGCTGCTGTGTGGTGAAGTCCATGTTGTGGGCAGCTGCTGTGTGGTGAAGTCCATGTTGTGGGCAGCTGCTGTGTGGTGAAGTCCATGTTTGTGGGCAGCTGTTGTGTGGTGAAGTCCATGTTGTGGGCAGCTGCTGTGTGGTGAAGTCCGTGTTGTGGGCAGCTGCTGTGTGGTGAAGTCCGTGTTGTGGGCAGCTGCTGTGTGGTGAAGTCCGTGTTGTGGGCAGCTGCTGTGTGGTGAAGTCCATGTTGTGGGCAGCTGCTGTGTGTGAAGTCCATGTTGTGGGCAGCTGCTGTGTGGTGAAGTCCGTGTTGTGGGCAGCTGCTGTGTGGTGAAGTCCGTGTTGTGGGCAGCTGCTGTGTGGTGAAGTCCGTGTTGTGGGCAGCTGCTGTGTGGTGAAGTCCGTGTTGTGGGCAGCTGCTGTGTGGTGAAGACCGTGTTGTGGGCAGCTGCTGTGTGTGAAGGCCGTGTTGTGGGCAGCTGCTGTGTGGTGAAGGCCGTGTTGTGGGCAGCTGCTGTGTGGTGAAGGCCGTGTTGTGGGCAGCTGCTGTGGTGAAGACCGTGTTGTGGGCAGCTGCTGTGTGGTGAAGACCGTGTTGTGGGCAGCTGCTGTGTGGTGAAGGCCGTGTTGTGGGCAGCTGCTGTGTGGTGAAGTCCGTGTTGTGGGCAGCTGCTGTGTGGTGAAGTCCGTGTTGTGGGCAGCTGCTGTGTGGTGAAGTCCGTGTTGTGGGCAGCTGCTGGTGTGGTGAAGTCCGTGTTGTGGGCAGCTGCTGTGTGGTGAAGTCCGTGTTGTGGGCAGCTGCTGTGTGTGAAGTCCGTGTTGTGGGCAGCTGCTGTGTGGTGAAGTCCGTGTTGTGGGCAGCTGCTGTGTCGGGTGAAGTCCGTGTTGTGGGCAGCTGCTGTGTGGTGAAGTCCGTGTTGTGGGCAGCTGCTGTGTGGTGAAGTCCGTGTTGTGGGCAGCTGCTGTGTGGTGAAGTCCGTGTTGTGGGCAGCTGCTGTGTGGTGAAGTCCGTGTTGTGGGCAGCTGCTGGTGGTGTAAGTCCGTGTTTGTGGGCAGCTGCTGTGTGGTGAAGTCCGTGTTGTGGGCAGCTGTTGTGTGGTGAAGTCCGTGTTGTGGGCAGCTGTTGTGTGGTGAAGTCCATGTTGTGGGCAGCTGTTGTGTGGTGAAGTCCATGTTGTGGGCAGCTGCTGTGTGGTGAAGTCCATGTTGTGGCAGCTGCTGTGTGGTGAAGTCCATGTTGTGGCAGCTGCTGTGTGGTGAAGTCCATGTTGTGGGCAGCTGCTGTGTGGTGAAGTCCATGTTGTGGGCAGCTGCTGTGTGGTGAAGTCCATGTTGTGGGCAGCTGCTGTGTGGTGAAGTCCATGTTGTGGGCAGCTGCTGTTGTGTGAAGTCCATGTTGTGGCAGCTGCTGTGTGGTGAAGTCCATGTTGTGGGGCAGCTGCTGTGTGGTGAAGTCCATGTTGTGGGCAGCTGCTGTGTGTGAAGTCCATGTTGTGGCAGCTGCTGTGTGGTGAAGTCCATGTTGTGGGCAGCTGCTGTGTGGTGAAGTCCATGTTGTGGGCAGCTGCTGTGTGGTGAAGTCCATGTTGTGGGCAGCTGCTGTGTGGTGAAGTCCATGTTGTGGGCAGCTGCTGTGTGGTGAAGTCCATGTTGTGGGCAGCTGCTGTGTGGTGAAGTCCATGTTGTGGGCAGCTGCAAGTCTTGAGATATCACCAGCAGCAACACCCCATAACAATGTCTGCAAAGATAAAAGAATGGACATTACTAGATTCATAAACTACAGCGAGCAATAGTTTGAATTCTTACTATGTATTTAGAATGCTTCCTTCAATATTTTGTAGAAAGAAAAATTGCTAAAATATTTTCAAAAATATTATCAAAAATCATCATGAAATTGGAGTAATCAAAGTTTTTTTAAATTACCACAGGTTGATGGAACTGGAAGAGCTGGAGTTGTTGGTGTGGTGGATGGCAGAGGAATGACTAGTGGCGCCACTATTCTTGACCTTCATGGCTAATTGGCGCCATTGACCTGGAGGAGAGGTAATGACATCAGTGGTTGTTGTGGGGAGGGGGAAGGTCGTTAAGGGAAGGGTCGGGGGTTGGCTACTGGTGGAGGGGTTTGGGGGGTGAGTAGTTACTGGTGGGAGGGGGATGGTTGTCACTTAGTAATTATTAAAGGACTAACAAATGTGTTAACGTGGCTTGAACCTTGTTACTTGAAACGCCTTGGACCAAAGACACCCATTTGCCACATATTCGTAATTCTAATGAACAATGTCCAAAGACTTGTTGAAAACCGTATCCTTGATGTTGGGCTTACGTATTTGACATATCATGTGGGTTTAGTGCTTAGTTTTGATCAGGGCCGGATTTAGACCTTTGGGGGCCCTCAGTATGTAAATTAAATTAAATTACAGTAAGAAATGAACTAAAATTAATGATAAATAGCAGTTCTCGGAAAAAATGTTAGGTTTCGAAGAAGTTTGATTTTATTTTTCTCAATTTTATTGACTTTAACTGACTATAATTTTCAGTTTGTAATATATTCCATCTATACTATATAATAATTACTGATGGGTATTTATTTATATCTTTGGTGCCACACTTTCAGTATCTACTATATATATATATATATATATATAAATATATATATATATAATATATATATATATATATATATAATATATATAATATGGTGGCAGTTGACCAAAAGGACACATGCTTTTCTCTGACAGGAAACCACATGTCTGGGTCTGAATTACATGGTGGCGCTTTACTGTCCATGTCTACAGAAGTATCTGTAGAATGTGGTTGTGGTGATTCATCACCTTTGTAATTCAATTTAATTTCCATATTGAGGGCCTCCCAAACCTAAAGTGCCCCAGACCCCCCAAAGGTCTAAATCCGGCCCTGGACTCGGTGAGATCGAATAGCACTCTCGATTGCGATAAAGTGTTCAGTGCATAATGATTCCTCCGTATACATGACCCTTCCGTACGGCTACCTTGATGCTGGTGAAGGGCCCTTGATTCTGGAAATTGAATCTATCCTTCCCTTGGACAGACCCTGATTACGACTCTTTCGTCCCATAAGTCTTGCGAGTATTGCGCTTTTCCGTAAATATAACAATTATAATAGCAATACAGCAATAATAATAATAATGAAAATTCCCCAAATTTCATCCTCTAACTTCACCAGTGCCAGTTTTCCTCCGGGTTCCATTCGGCTCCGACTTTCTTCCTCTGGCTTCCTTTTATACGATGGAGTGTGCCATTTCCACTCTTGGATGAGGCGTGGCACTGTGTGTGTGTGTGTGTGTGTGTGTGTGGTGTGTGTGTGTGTGTGTGTGTGTGTGTGTGTGTGTGTGTGTGTGTGTGTGTGTGTGGGCACTCTATCTCATATTGATACCCTCCTCCAGGCTCCTGGGTAGGTGAGCGAGCAATAAAGGCAGTGTCATGAACGCAGTCACCCGTAAGCTCAACAGAGCGTGTGAGTTGATGCTAGTGATACGCGTTTGATCCAATGAATTGGAGCTATTCTTCCCTTTTTCGGAAGAAACCTGATTGCCTCACATTCTTTAGGTGCTGTATAACCCCTACGAATTTAGCGTTTCCTCTAGGAATACATTAATTTCAACTGGAGGGTTCGCACGGTCCTCAGACCAGAGTCACATTTCAGTCCAACATTAACGAAATAAATGACCATTTCATAATTAACATTCACTTGTAATATAGATTTACAATGAGTTTCTCACATTAAAATTAATTTACATTTAGAGTGCTATTATATATGCTTGATAATGAAGCTTGTATTTGATTAATATATATATATAAAAAAAAAAATCTGGGTCAGCTCAGTGACCGACATTTTTGTATTGTGTTGTCTACTGCCTTCATATACTACTTAAGCTCTCCCAGTACTCGTGTCAGTGTTGTATTAGTGTCTGTATACTGTCATCAGTACCTCTATTAGAGGCCTAGCTTCTCCCTACGAGCCCCGTGAGGGCGGGGAATGTGGCTAGGCCTGGGGACACTTGGTCCCAAAGATGAGGAGGTACTATACCTCCTCCCATGGGAGACTTAAGTCTCGAGACACTCCCCAGATAGGGAGCCAAGGCCGGGTCACCACTACTTGGAAAAGACCCGGGCCGGGAGAATACCGGTAAAAAAAAAAATCAGTACCTCTGTTGCTGTAGCTCCTTCTTATGTAAGGAAACTTGTCGTTTGTAGCTGGGGCATGATATTGTGGTGGCATGATATTGTGGTGGCATGATATTGTGGTGGCATGATATTGTGGTGGCATGATATTGTGGTGGCATGATATTGTGGTGGCATGATATTGTGGTGGCATGATATTGTGGTTGGCATGATATTGTGGTGGCATGATATTGTGGTGGCATGATATTGTGGTGGCATGAATATTGGGTGGCATGATATTGTGGCGGCATGATATTGTGGCGGCATGAAATTGTGGCGGCATGATATTGTGGTGGCATGATATGTGGTGGCTTATATTGTGGTGGCATTATATTGTGGTGGCATGATATTGTGGTGGCATGATATTGTGGTGGCATGATATTGTGGTGGCATGATATTGTGGTGGCATGATATTGTGGTGGCATGGTATTGTGGTGGCATGATATTGTGGTGGCATGGTATTGTGGCGGCATGGCATTGTGGCGGCATGGCATTGTGGCGGCATGGCATTGTGGCGGCATGGCATTGTGGCGGCATGGCATTGTGGCGGCATGGCATTGTGGCGGCATGACATTGTGGCGGCATGACATTGTGGCGGCATGGTATTGTGGTGGCATGATATTGTGGTGGCATGATAGTATCAGGGGGAAGGAGGAGTGATGGTAGTGTCTGGGGGGGGGGTTTGTATGGTGTCGAGGAAGGGATATTATGGTGATTAGGAGAGGGGTGTCAGTACGGGGACGAGGAGGGGGAGGGCAGTATAATGTCAAGGAAGGGGGGGTGTCAGTATGGTGTCGAAGGGGTGACAGCGTTGTATTGAGAATGCAAGAATGGGATGCTTAATGATCCCCGTGTAGTAGATAGGCTTTAAACTTGTATAAATATATACTTTTATTCAATTCAATTCAAATTCAATGTTTATTCTCTATAAGGATTACAATGCTGAGTTTACAGAAATTTGGTTATTGTTTGGTTTACATGTAGTAAAATTGTGATTACAGAGTGTACCACTAGAACGCTTAGCATGGCTAGGCATTTCGGGCATACTTAGTTTTATTCTTAATTGTAAAATATTACAAATTATGAGGTAAGTTGGTATTATGGCTAAGTGACTAAATACTAGTTTGTGAGTTTAGCAATGTGAATGCTTTTGTTTTGGCACAGTACATAGTTTCAGTATTGGAGTATAACAGGATTCATTATTTTAAGACTGAGATTAATATTTCTGTTTATGGTCAATGAGTGAGTGAGTGTAAGTGTGAACCACCAGGTGGTAATCGTGTAGTTAGTTGACGGGGTGTATCAGGGAGATAAGATTTTTTCTAATGGTAGTTTTGAAGGTGATGAATGTGTCTGCAGTTCTAGAGTTCTCAGGTAGGGTATTCCAGATTTTAGGGCCTTTGACATACATTGAATTTTTGTAAAGGTTTAGTCGACACGGGGAATGTCGTAGAGATGTTTGTGTCTGGTGTTATGCCTGTGGGTTCTGTCACAACTATCAAGAAAGCGTTTTAGGTCAAGGTTGATATTAGAGTTTAAGGCCCTGTAGATATAGATTGCACAGTAGTAAGTGTGGATGTACTGGACTGGGAGTAAGTTTAGATCTATGAAGAGTGGGGGGGGGGTGTTGCCAGGGATGGGATTTAGTGATTATTCTTACTGCAGCTTTTGTTGGGTTATTATTGGCTTTAGGTGTGTTGCTGCAGTTGATCCCCAAGCACAAATAGCATAGGTGAGGTATGGATAAATAAGTGAGTGGTATAGTGTGAGAAGGGCATTTTGCGGCACGTAGTATCGTATCTTGGAGAGGATCCCAACCGTTTTGGATACTTTTTTGGCTATATTGCTGGATATGTGGGTGCTGAAATTCAGGTTGTTGTCAAGGTATAAGCCTAGGAATTTTCCCCCATTATTTCTGGTAATTAGAGTGTGTCAATCTTAATGTTAATTTGTGCATCTCCTGCTCTGCTACCAACATAATATAGTAGGTTTTGTTAGTGTTAAGCGTAAGTTTATTGGCTGTCATCCAAGTCGATATTTTAATCAGCTCCCTCATTCACAATGGTGTTGAGGGTGGCAAGATTAGGGTGAGAGATGACATAAGTTGTGTCATCAGCAAAGAGAATGGTTTCAGGTGTTGGATACGTTTGGAAGATCATTGATGTATATGAGGAAGAGCAGGGGACCAAGGACACTTCCCTGCGGAACTCCAGTACAAGTGGCCGTGTTGCTGATGCTGTGTCGTTAATGGTGACGTACTGATACCTATTAGTAATGTAAGATTTGAAATAAGCAAGCGCATGGCCTCTTATACCGTAGTGATCAAGTTTGTGGAGTAGGATGTTGTGGTCTACTGTGTCAAAAGCTTTTCATAGGTCAATAAAAATTCCTAGTGGATATTCCTTATTTTCCAATGCTGTGTAAAGCAGATCTATCATTTTTATGATTGCATCATTAGTGCTTTTATTTTTCCTGAATCCAAACTGGCAGGGGTTGAGTATGTTTTGAGCCGTTATAAATGAATACAGTCTCATGTGCACGAGTTTCTCAAAGATTTTTGGATAGCAATGGAAGTTAGATATTGGCCTATAGTTGTTTAAGTCTGTAGGGTCACCACCTTTATGTATTGGTGTAACCCTTGCCATCTTGAGTAGTTTCGGGAAGGTGCTAGTCTCTAGTGACTTGTTAAAAAGTAATGAAATAGCATGCAAAAGGACATGGGCCGCTCGCTTGTACAGTAATGGTGGGACATGAGACAGATTCCCCGAGTTATTTTTAAGTGACTTTATGATCTCAGTGACTTCCGTGGGCTCAGTTGGTGCAAGATAGAAGAATTAGGGAAAT